GCCTTTGAACATGGAGGTTCTCTTTATTTACCATGGCCTACTGATAGACCCCCACTATTCCATCTCTTCCCTATAGATTTTATTAGATTACAGAATTCATAATGCGAGGTAACTGGGTCCACAGTATAATTTGCATTGAACTTTACATGTGTACAAGTCTGCCTTCGGGTTTTGGTATTTAATTCCACTTTAACAAAATATAGATTTCATCTCAAATTTCTTTAGAGACAGAATTTGGTGGCAAATTTAGTATAAAGTTGAGAGCCAAAAACATAATCCAGACCAAGAGCACAAGCACATTTGCTTATGAGCAGTCATTTAATTATAAATTCCATCCTGCTATATAGAGAAGAAGAGATTGGATTTATAGCCCGCCCTTCACTTGGAGTCTCAGAGCGGCTTACAAACTCCTTTCCCTTTCCCTCCCCACAACAGACACCCTGTGAGGTGGGTGGGGCTGAGAGAACTCTGACACAAACTGCTCTTTTTCAAGGACAGCTGTGCCAGAGCTTGTGACTGACCCAAGGTCACATCAGCAGGTGCAAGTGGAGGATTGGGGAATCAAACCCGGTTCTCCCAGATTAGAGTCCGCACACTTAACCACTACACCAAACTGGCTCTACAGGTATGTTCTTATATTGCCTTTTTTATTCATTTAATTTATAGTAATCACCTTCTGTATTTGCTAGCACTTTATGTAATTGTTTGTGAATTTTATCGTATTTATTGTTTTATCGTATTTTAACTAATGTACGCCACCTTGAGGCAGTTTGTCTTGGAAGGCGGGATATAAATCGAAAGTAATAAATAATAAATTTTTGTCCTAGCTCAGGAAGGGTGGCTCCAGAGCAAACTAATTTATGCAGTAGCCAAATTGCTCACATACAACTTTAATGCCAATAGCTCACAAAGTAGAATTTTTGCTTACAAGACTCCACAGCTTTGAGGGAGCATTGGCAGTGTTTCACAAAAGCTAATACCTGCCACAAATTTTGTTAGTTTTCAAGGTGCTATGGGACTTAGTCTTTCTACAGCTATAAGAAACCACAATATTCAGAAACCAGTTGGGGAACATTCTAACCTTCCAGGACATTCAGTTGCTGACCTAAGGGTAGCAGTTCTCTTACAAAGGCATTTCAAAGGGAGATTAGAAAGAGAGAGTGATGAATTACAACTGATAATGAAGCTCAATGCATCCTCCTGGGCTTCTTCTCTTATTACCAGTGGCTGCTATTGTTATTTGGCATCTGATATCACTTCACTATCCAAGATATAAGGACAGATGGACTCACATTCCAGCTGTATCTGAAGAAGTGAGCAGTGACTCATGAAAGCTCATGCCCTGCCACAATTTTTTTTTTAGTCATTAAAGTGCTACTGGACTCTTGCTCCCTTCCACTAATTTTTAAATTTATTTTTATTTAACATTCAATTTATATACCGCTCTGACCCCGAAGGGTCTCTGAGCGGTTTACACACAATTTGATTCCTAACTAGGGCCACAATTATAGAAGGGGGTGATTGCCTACCGGCACCCGGCAGCAGGGCTTGTTGCTATCTGGCTCCCTCCGGCGGGACTCGGAATTAGAAGCTGTGCTGTTAGGTTTCTTTTTTTATTATTATTATTATTTTCATCTGTTAGAACTGGAAAGTGGGCTCTCCAAGTGAAATAATGTGTTGCCTTCAGACGACAAAATCCATTCACTGCTAGTGATGATAATAAAAAAAGCAAGGTGGGGGTTAATCTGAAGAAAGGCAGCCAATGAGGTGGGAGGGGAGAGAGGGAGACTACATGTTCAACTGGAATATATGAAACTATAAATGTATTTATAAATACTTACCCATCTACTTACAGTCCTTGAACCATGGAATCCAATCCAAGTGTTGTTATTCCTAATCAGGGTCTTTTTGAAAGAAAATCCCAGATAGGCAAGGAGAAATCTAATTTTTTTAAAAAAAACCTTTTCAGAATAAGCCAAAATAATTTCCCTTTAATTCCCCTTATTCTTGATCCACTTTCTTTTTTAATGTGAGTGTGTGTGTGATCAGGTATCAAAGAAAACAGCAGAGCATGTCTTGTCAGAAAAATCTCCCTCTCTCTAAAAGAAATGTGCATGCATAGGAAAGCTTCTACCTGAAATAAAACTTTGTTGGTCCTGAAGGTGCCATGGGACACACTCTCCAAATGAGGGAAGAGAGGCTTGGGAATGCAGCAGCAGCCCCAGAGGAGGAAGCAGGAGGGAGCAGAGGGAACTTTTATTTGGTGCGGGTGCATGCACTCTCTTTTTCCTCCCCCCTTTCCAGCAGCAGTTGTGAGAAACAGGGAGAAGGAAGCAGTTGCTTGCGCATTGGATACCAACCCTGCAGGTGCCGGATCTGGCCCACGGGTCGCATGTTTGACCCCCTGATTCAGAAGTTACTGAAGGCCTTGTACTCAGTGAGGCCTGCAAGGAAGGAACTATTGAGGGATTGTGCCCTTTGATTCTTAAATTCCACACAGCTGCTTCTTTCTATTCTATTAAAAATTCCAGAAATAACAGAAAAATCTTATCTTATTGTCTTCCTAACAAATATATAGCATCAGATTATGGAGAAGGTAGCTAAATTCTGTTCAACAGCAAAATCTACCCGTGCTTCATTGGGGAAGTAGTTATGTTGTTGTATTCTATTAAACAATGTTAATTTTACATATAAGGGAAATGTATTTGTATTTTCCCTTTTTGTTTTATTGATTTTTATGGGATCATAATTGATTGTATAACAGAAATATTGTAAATTGTTTAACTGCATTGGTCACTGACCATAACAATAAATACCTATTGATCTAAATTCCCACGCAACTGATACTTTTCAGTACTTTGACCTGCTTTAAATTTGAATACACACGCTTCTCGAAATTAAAAAATAACATTTTGATTGTGTGTGCACTGGTATTCCCAGCAAATATACCAGATGCCATTTGCAATTTCTGCAGTATTTTCCCAATTTACAAAGCAGTCTTTAAATTTATGGGCTGAACTGAAGAATGTAGGTGCAGTGAAACTGGGACTAGTTGGCTGCCAGAAGAGTGATGAGAAGAGACAGCACAAAATAGCAGCCGACAGAACTTCCTGTGCATAAGCTCCCTAATGCCGCAGTGCGCATATTGAAATAGAAATGAGGCAACATATTCTCCTATTACTAGTGCAGGAGCACTATAGGAAAGGAGGCTATATTTGCTGTTAGACACAGAGACATTCTTGAACATATGGACATAACTTGTGACTCTTTGTGTTCATGTTTGCTAATCTCAAATTAAAGCATTTCACATTTGTCTTAAATTGTGTGACATTAGTATACTAGCATTTTGGATTTAAATGGTCTGCAGTTATATTTGGAAGGCTTCCTCTGCATAGATGGATGGAAATGAGTTTTTAAAACACTGATCTTCTCAAGATTTTCTGATTATGTTAATCAGCTTTAAAACTTCAGAGCACGATAGGTTGGTATATATTGTAGAGTTTGTTAACAGAGCTTGTAAATAATGGGACTTACACTCCTGTTCTGCAGCTAGGCTAGAAGGTAAACTAGTTGTGTGAGCTACAATTTGATATGTCCTGTGTGTTCCAAAGAGTGGGTGAGGAGAGATGCCGAAATGGAACACATCCTGTTGCTGTCTGTGGGGGTGGACTGGGCGATCTAGTATTGTTTATCCCAGCAGTTGATGTTCTGGCGAAGGTAGCAAAAGTGCCAGCAAAGGGCCTTGTTACAGCATCAACAGATGGATAAACGGTGGAGTTCCTGGCCAGCAGTCAGGCGGTGTTTTCAGAAATGGGTGGCCTGCACAAAGGATAAAGGCTTAAGAGGAAGAAAGCAAGTACAGGCTAACCCCATGAAGAGGGAGCTGGAGGCTTGTGGAGAAAGTGCTTGGAGGGATCAAAGGACTTCTGAGGTGCAACAATTTAATTGTCGTGTTGTCTCTGTAGTTTACTGTCTTGCCTAATCTGTGTGGAGACAAAAGAGAAGGGAGGTAAAGTCAAGTTAGGAGATAATTTAAGAAAGAATGCACTGTGACCAGTAGCACCACAGATGTAGCTTAACTAGATTAATGTTTGTCTGTGACAAACAGGCAGACATTAATTTCACTGTGGGATAATACACTGAGCTCATACTAAATACATTTGTTGTATTTTTCATGAAATAATGTTTCCCTTGTATTTGGCCCCACCATCCTTTGAAAGGTAATGTGACTTTATACAATATTTGAAGGTACATAAAGCCTTTTTGTGTTGGTCTGTTTCTTCCATCCATAAAGTGTTGTAATTCAGTCTTGGTTTCAGTTTTGCAATTCTGTGCACTGCTCAAGTTCAAAGTATTCATATTTGAAAATGTAAGACCAGAGAAATATTTGCAACACCTCAACAAGTGTGATTTATTGATGATTCAGTGGCATTACCCAGATTTTGCATAGGTTTCTATTATTAAGATGTCCTGTAGAATCCTAAATCATACAGATGTTATATTTTACATTCTATTTATGTTATTTTTTCTTAATGTTCTTACAAAAATTATGCACTTACAGTGGTTAAGATAATGCATCATGTGACCGGTATCTTCTGCACAATAAATCAGTAAACTGGGGAAGTTCTTGATTTTAATCTTTAACAATATCATAGTTTAATGGTTTCACAAGTGTTGCTGAAACTATCTGTACTGCTAAAACTGTATTCTATAAATTTTCAGACCAACATTAAAGACATATATTGCATATATATTTTAATATTCATGTTTGTATCAAGAAAAATAATTTGGAATCCAAATATCAATTGTAGTTACATCATGACACTATGTAGGTCTTTTCTATCTTGTACATCTTAATTAATTTATGTTGTACATTCTATTTATGATTGGTTTACCAGTTTTAGTATGTCCGGGGCGTATCTTTTTTCTAATACCACTGTTGACCTCTATGCATTATGTCCTTCAGTATTATTATTTTTCATCCCTTCTTTCTACATTAGGAGCGGCAACGATTGGAGACCATTCTTAACCTGTGTGCAGAATATTCCAAACCTGACAGTGACTCTGTAACAACTGTTGCTGATGTTCAAAAAATTAATAAAGAACTTGAAAAGCTTCAGTTTTCTGATGAAGATTCTGTATTTGAAGATTCCCAGATGACTCCAGAAACAAGAATCAGAAACCATTTGCAACTGCCAGCAGATGATACTGACTTTTCAGAATTTAGTGATCTTGGTCAAAACGTTATGGGGTTCCTTTCCCCTAGAGGGACCAGAACGAATAAACATTTAAATGAAAACAGGACACCTTCACCATTACCACCTTGTGCCTTCATAAAGAATGTCAGTGAATCTTCTTATTTAAGCATCATGCCAAAGGTAATAGCAAAATATTCTACAGGGGATAAAATGATTGGAAATCTTAAAGGAAATATTTAAAATATTCAATTCAGATTGAAAGTGCATATCTGATTTTCTTTTACAGTTTGTGCTAGGAACTATCAGATAGTTTTGCAGACACATTTCATAAAAGGGCTTGGTTGCACCATTTCTTCTTTCCTCAATTCCTGTAGAAAGGGAGGTTCCAAAGCCAACCATCTGTGATTGGCTGCAAACAGAAGAGCTTTTTCAAGCTGCCACCACTAAATAATGATCAAAGAGTGACGTAGTGCAGGCTCAGTACAGGACAGGTGGGAACCAGGCTTTCTCTTGCCTGGTGGTGGTGGTGAAAGAGCTGTCTTAGCCCCACCTACCTCAGGGAAGGGGAAAAAGTTTATAAGCTGTTCTGAGACTCCTTCAGGTAGTGAAGGGTGGGGTATAAATCCAATCTCCTCCTCCTCCTCCTCCTCTTCTAATTGAACTCTAGTTTTCCTGAATTGGGTTATACTGCATTTAAAGTAACTGCCAGTAACCTTTTAAAGCCAATTCCCTCCCTTGCCTCCATCCCCCTCCTCCATATTTTGTTTGATACTATGGTTGGACCTGACCAGACAGACATCTGTGCAAGCACTTTGCTCATACCTGGGGCCTTTATAGTTTCCGCACCCTTGTTCTCCAGAAGACACACTGAAAAAGACCTTCCCTCTTCCCTCCCCTGTAACAGATATGGAGAGGAAGATGCAAGGCGGATGGAGGGAACAATTCAATTCTTCCCTGTCTGTTATCTTACCTACTTAGAAATACCAGGAAGAACAGAGTGCTGTTTGCCCTGTCCCTCTTTAATGTTTCCCATTCTTTAAGAAAAAAAAAAGAATTTGAAAGGCAGTCTTTGGATGAGCTTAAAGAATGTTCATATAGATAGACACATTTAAGTAAATTACATAATGATTAATGGTCCTTCATTAAGCAGAAGTGCAAAAATTACTCCTCACTATCTGCTTGTACTAAGTGAAAGTGATTGTATCTTTTCCCAGTGCTCAAAACATAGCGCAAGTTATTTTTTTCAAAATTACATTGAATGAAATCAAGTGAACCCAGAGGTCATTTCGGGGGGGGGAACGCGGGGGAACGCAGTTCCCCTGGGTGAGGTGCAGGGGGCGGGGCACATGACGAAGCCTCGCCCCCTGCTTCCGGCCGCCCCGCTTCCAGCCCTCATTCAGCCAGGAGGAGGCAGGAGAAGAGGGAGGGTAAGTTGCTTCCTCCCCGCCTCTCCCCACCCCTGCCTGCCTGGGGCCAGGGAGGGCCTTGGCGGGGCTTCCTCGCACTCCCGCTGGGCTTGCAGGTCCACCGCCGGGCCCCTGATGTCAGGGGGTGTGGCATATGCTAATGAGTTATGCTAATGAGTTCCCCTAGCTCTTTTTCTACGAAATGACCCCTGAGTGAACCATTGCTTACTTTCCACTGTTATGTATGCATATTGTTATTTTGTTAAAAATTGTATTAAAGTACAGTGGCTTGCTGCAAGTTGCTTGCAAAAATGGTACTGCACCACTGCATTTTCCTTTCAGCTCATGTAAGAGAATGAATGAATGAATGCCAGCTACGGTCTTTCACCCAGAAGTCTGAGAGCCTAGAAATCAATCTGTCACTAAGCCCCCAGTTGACCTATTGAGGTACAACTAGTTAATAAACATTTAAACTGCTCAGAACTGAAAACAGTTTTGTACAGTGGCCATAAACACAGGCTGTACTGGTGACAAAGAATTTGGAGGAAGAGTCCTCCTATCTCCCTATTTATATTAATTTCATACTTTCTTTAATGGTTGACTCATTTGACCAAAGGTCTCAAGCCTGGTCATGCTAAATTATTCCTAAATTATTTAATTATTATTCCTCTTATATATGTGTGTGTATTTCAATCCACTTTATTTCTAGCCCTTTTAATTATTATTATCAAGTTTTATTCTTAGCCACATCATTAAAAACCTGCATTTTCCTTCAACACAATCACCACTGAGAAGAATTTTGCCATGACTAAAGTAATCTTCAGATGCTTATCCTTTAATAAAATTGGTGCTATATTAGTTCTGTCAGCAGACACTAAGTTCCTTAGGATGGGATCCAACCATTTCACTGTATATAAATCATACTGTGGACAATCCAAGATCATGTGATCCAATGTTTCAGGTTCTCTCTATCCACATCCATAAGATCTATCCCGGAATGCAGTCTTCATATAATGGCCCTTGAGAATTCCTGACAGAAGCATATTAGTCCTAGCTAGAAAAATTCTTTACTATAGGTGGAGATTGTTAAAAATTTCAAAAAGGCTGGCAGGGCACAGGAGAGGTCGGAGACCAACAGAAAATAATGAGCAAACCCTGCATGTTCTACAAAAAGCACTTATCCTGTCTAACGCTACTGTTCTCTTTTTCAAAAGAGAAATTGCTACAACTGTACCCAACTCCTGCAGGGTTTCCATTTCTATTCCTTGCATCCTTATATTGTCATCAATAAATTGGAATCATCTGCTCCCTTAATGATCTTGCTTTATTCTGGCTAGTAGCTCCAAACCATCTGTAGAAAAGAGAACGTTCATTCTCATATCCATAGCTTGGAGCCAGGCCTGCGTGTCCACCAATCTCAGTGCAAGATCTTCCCTCAGAGCAGTACTGGAAATGTAGTTTGGAACCTCCAGGATCCTTTTCACAAAGTGGGGTAGAAGTTGATCAATTTTCTCATTTACTTCCTCAACCCAAACTCCACAACATAAGTTACTTGTGGAGTTATTTTAGCCTGAAATACAGCCAGTGCTGAATGGACATAACATCCCCCCTCCTTATAACAAAATCTTGAGATTGCAATAGTTTCTATTCTGGCCTTCTCTAGCACTAATGTTGGATAGTATTTCCACCTTAAGTTATACCTATAAAGGACCCTAGGTATTTAAATGGTTGTATCTGTTCCATAGTCTGACCATCCACTGACCACTTAACTTTATTAGGGCATATTCAATGGGTGAAAATCATTACCTTTAAGTTATAATAAATAATTATTCTTCATCTTTACAGAATTTTTGAAAGCTAGGTATATGCCAGTTTCTGTTCAAGAAAGCAAAACCACATTATCTGTGTGCAGCAGAAATGCGACCTCCTTATTGGCTAGTATGGGGGAATGATAACTTTAGTCTTAGCCCTTCAGATGTGAAAGTCTTATTGAAATCAATGAGAGTTTCATAAAAATTCATCCAAGAGACATTCCTATAGGATGTTTAACATGGACTGTGCCACTTTTAGTTTACTCTTTCCAATAATCTCATACTGAGATTCTCTCTTCATAGCTTGACAGTGTTTAGGCATTTTTCAGTTTTCTGCCTGTTCCTTTTGTAGTGGGCTTCTTTGAGAATAAAGTAATTTGGAAGAAAAAGATGGCTTTGGTTCATTTTATCTTGTATTTCTAGTATGAAGGGATTTGTAGAATTATTTACAGGGAAATAATTTTATAAATTCTACAATTTACTTCCTAGTCTTGTAAGAACTAATGATTTGAAATAAAAATATATGCCCTTTACCTTTCCCAGCTTTTCTGTTCTCTTCTAAAATGCTCAGTGCCTAATATGTCTTCACTGGCACCTCTATAGAGTAAGGAATTCAAGGACTGTAGCCTGTAACATATCCTTGTGATCATTCTTTGCTGCCCATAAGTAAGAGATCCTGTTTATAATCCTCCTTTAGGAAGATGAAATCCAAGACTCAGTGTCAATGTTACCCAAGTAGGATACCAGTAAAAAGCAGGCTTTCCTGCTAGGATTACTAGAGCTAATAAAGAAAACAATTTGTTAGAGTGGGTCTTCTGTTATATTAGAACAGTAGTCACCATAAATAAAATCAGTTCTAAAATTTTAGAATTTTGTTTATAAAATTGCATTGCTCAGTCTGAGAGTACAGAAATATATGGTTTGATAATACTGTAAAATGAAGCACTGGAAATGGGATCCGGGGCCTGGGTGTAATTCTCAGATGCAGAGATATTATTGTGCAAGTAATTTGGCCTCTAAGTACAATTAGGTTCCCAATGAAAAGACAAATTAGTTTGGCGACTTGCAAACAGAATTTCAGCCTTCTATGTTCAATTAAGTGAATTGGTTTAGAAGGATATAACTCTGATGTGGACTGTAATTTAAATCTTTTTCTATGCTAAGGAGTTTAATGCAGGAAATGGTTGCTGCATGAAAGCAACCCAATGCTAGTTTATTTTTTATTTTGCAAATATTGTCCAATAACTAAATGGATATGGAAGACAAGGGGCAGGGAAGCTGAAGTGTTCTTGAAGAATATGGCAAAGCAATATTGATGGGGGGGGGGAATTACAGTGTGATTGTTGACATTGCTAAAATCTCTTTGATATAAGCAAAATTTTATTTTAGCATCTTCTAGTTAATATTAAGGAAAAATAAATATAAGGAATGCACAATTTGAGCACTGTATTAAAATTACATAATATTGATTTTATTATAGACAACAGAATGCATAAGTGATGAACAACGAGCACTGGAGCTTAATCAGATGGAAGAACAGCGCATTGTAATACTGAATAACTTGGAAGAACTTGAACAAAAAATCAAAGAAATAAATGATCAAATGGATGAATCCTCCAGAGAGGTATATCAACGCAGTTTGTTGTTTTAAAATTATTTTATCTCATTTAATAATCTGGTTTGCTATAAGAAAGTGCATATATTCAAGACACACAGATTCAAAGGCAGTTGCATGTAGAAACACATCAAAGGCTAGTGTTTTTTGTACTACATAAAGCAGGATAAGAAATTGCCTCCTTAGTTTATTGTACACTCATGGGACAATATAAGCCCTAGGACTGCCAAGCCCCTGGTTGGGGTGGGGGATATCCTACCACTGCTCCTGTTGCCCGCCACAACTCTGAGTGGCAGCAAGAGAAAAATAACCCCCCACTGCATGACTGTGTTGTCATATAACTTCCAGTAAAAAAATGAAATGACATAGGGTAGCTCTAGGAATCTTCCAGAAACTCTATGATAAAACCGTAGAGTTTATGGTTTTACCTATGTCACTTCCAGTTTTTTCACTGGAATTGATATGATACCACAACCAGCATCACCCCACCCCACTGCCATATCCTTGCCTGGCAACCCTAATAGCACTGAAGTTTATAAAAATAGATATCCAGACTTCAGGCTTTTCATGTTATGTGCACATTGAAATAGCAATTATTAAACTTACTGATGGTAAAAAGATAAAAATGAGTTTTGAAATGTAAATTTGAATTAGATTTTTATCCTTCGTTATGTAAAGTTGTGTTGTTGTTTTTTAAAAAAACTCATTTCAGATGAAGCCTGAATAAGGTACAAACACATAAAAGCCTCACAGTAGACTGTGGTTTATAACTGTGCTTTGATCAAACCTTGGTTAGTTGTGACAGTTAAATGCAGACTGTGTAACACCAAGCTGTGGTTTCAAACTAGTTTCTAACTAGCTTATTATTGGTCTCAATTATGGTTTATTGTGAAGTCTGAAACAAAAATACAGTTTCACTGTCCCTTGCAGCTGCTGTGAGAAAAAAGGCAAGAGAAAGGCAAATAGGAATTTTCCTTCAAATTGGTATTTGTTACTTACAACCAGTAGATTAACCTGTTAAAGTTTGTTACACAAACCAGTGTTTAAGCAAACAGTAGATGATTGTGACATCTGAATGTGGCCGTAATCTCTGAAAACTGAACTATTTGCTTTCATTCAAACACATTTACTTGGTTTTCTGTGAAAAAGATTGGACTTTTTGATGAAATGTCAGAATCAAGGTCAAGCCTGCTACATATTTATTTTTACATTTTTTTGTTGTATTTTTACATTTGTGTGTGTGTGTTTATGTGCCTGTGCCTGGAAATCATGGCGACCTCTGGTGACTCCTACTGGGTCATGGAGGACCTTCAGAGAGGTGGCTAAATAAGAGAACATAAGAGAAGCCAATGTTGGGTCAGGCAAATGGCCCATCTAGTCTTAACACTCTGTCACACAGTGACCAAAAATAACCTGTGCCATCAGGAGGTCCAGCAGTGGGGCCAGGACACTAGAAGCACCAAGAATACAGTGCATCACTTGCCCCAGTCTGAGAGTTCCTATCTATACCTTGTGGCTAATAGCCACTGATGGACCTCTGCTCCATAGGCTTATCTAATTCCCTCTTGAAGCCGTCCATGCTTGTAGCCGCCGCCACCTCCTGTGGCAGTGAATTCCATGTGTTAATCACTCTTTGGGTGAAGAAGTACTTCCTTTTATCTGTTCTAACTCGACTGCTCAGCAATTTCATTGAGTGCCTACGAGTTCTTGTATTGTGAGAAAGGGAGAAAAGTACTTCTTTCTCTACCTGCTCTATCCATGCACAATCTTATAAACCTCGATCATGTCACCCCTCAGCCGTCGTTTCTCCAAGCTAAAGAGCCCCAAGTACTTTAACCTTTCTTCATAGGGAAAGTGTTCCAACCCTTTTATCATTCTAGTTGCCCTTTTCTGCACTTTTTCCAATGCTATAATATCCTTTTTGAGGTGTGGTGACCAGAACTGTACACAGTACTCCAAATGAGGTCACACCATTGATTCATACAGGGGCATTATGATACTGGCTGATTTGTTTTCAGTTCTCTTCCTAATAGTCCCCAGCATAGCGTTGGCCTTTTTTCTTTTTTCTTTTTTTGCAGTTGCACACTGTCTCTACATTTTCATTGAGTTATCTACTACGACTCCATGATCTCTCTCTTGATCAGTCTCTGCCAGTTTGGACCCCATCAATGTGTATTTGTATTTAGGATTTTTGGCTCTAATGTGCATCTCTTTGCACTTGGCCACATTGAACCCCATTTGCCACTCTGACGCCCACTCGCCCATCCTTGACAGATCCCTTTGGAGTGCCTCACAATCCTCCCTGGTTCTCACCACCCTGAACAACTTTCCACTGAGAAAATTGCCCATTTATACTCACTCTCTGTTTCCTATTAATTAGCAAGTTTTTGATCCACAAGAGGACTTGTCCTTTTATCCCGTGACTATTGAGCTTACTTAGGAGCCTTTGATGAGGAACTTTATCAAAAGCTTTGTGGAAGTCAAGGTAAACAACATCTATTGGGTCCCCCTTGTCCACATGTTTGTTCACTCCCTCAAAAAACACTAACAGATTAGTGAGACAAGATCTTCCCTTACAGAACCCATGCTGAGTCTGCCTTAATAGTTTTTGTTCATCAGTGTGCCCACTAATTCTTTCCTTAATAACAGTTTCCACCAATGGTCATTTCATAGAAAAAGAGCTGCAGGAGCTCATTAGCATATCTAATAGGCTATTAGCATAATAGCTCATTAGCATATGCCATGCCCCCTGACATCACCGGAAGTGGTGTCAGAAGGGGAAGCAGAAAGGGGGAGGCATCTTCAAAAGCCTCACTTTCCCTTCCGCAGCTGGCCTGCCAAGGTGGGCTGGGGGGGGG